GGCTAGCATATATATATATATATAGAAACGTAGATATACATGTACATGGACATGTTATAAACAGAGATATATAGCTGCATAGATACGTAGTTTATACAGTTCTATACCTATACAGCTACAAAGATATGTAGATATGCAGATCTATGCGTTCTCTGGAGGCTCCATCAAGCTTCGACAAGGCTCTGGAAGGGTCTTACAGAAGTGTTAGGATTAGGCGGACCCTCGAAGATATGGACCCTCTCAATAAGGTCCCTCTTTAAGAAAGCCATAAGTAGGATTGAGAAGGATCGCCTTTAAGGGGTGTACCTAAGGTCGGGATTATGGGGTAAGTTTGAAAAACTACCTTGACACAATCTACCCCAAAGGGTCCTAAGTTGTCGAATGGGGGATACTTGCCCAAACCATAGTAGTAGTTGAGGTATAGAAGCCCTACATGCTACCATATAGGTACTTAGAGCCCTGAGGGTAGAACAAATCAGCTCACGAACCATCGGAACCTAAGCTACAGCCGAAAAATAATCTGAAAGCACACTGCATCTTCAGATATTGCAAACTCCGCGGTCGGATATAGGGGCCTTAATGATTGGAATAGGGTTCCGTTAAGTGAAATACTAGACGATATCTTCCTTCCGTGAATTTCAGCGCATTGGTTCCCAGCCTTTCCGCAAGCGCTCAGGGCAGCTCCGTAGCTAAATATGTTGGGAGCCAGTTTCGCAGTCGGAATGGAGTGGAATAAAGCCTGCTTAGAGGTTCATGGGTAGTTTTCAGTGGGGTTATAAGTAGGTTAAATATAAATATAACCCATACTAGGGGACTTATACCTCTACTTACAACTACCCATGAACCTCCAAGTGTGGTTAGAGACTTGGGTTTAGGCTGCTGTAAAGGCTCATGAATGGTTCTATCGGGTTCATGAAAGGTCGAGCGGGCCTCTTGTAGCCTGGCTTGAAAGGCAATCTTTTTAGGATTGGAATCGGTCGGATCTGATCTGTAGGAGTTCACAGGCAGGAACAATTCGAGAGCGATTAGGGTGAAGGTTTCGGGTGTTGAGTATTGGAAGAAGAGATTCCCCTGCTGTGTGGTAGGTATACTGAAGATGTAAACCCTAAACCCTAACCCTAAACCCTAAATGTAACTTCGGAGTGCAAAAAAACGTTTAGCTGACATTTCCAGAGCTACGAGATTTTGGGCTCCCTGGACAGCTGGAGACTCTCAAGCTTTTGTCGTCTTGTAATTTTTGGTTTCCTCATTAGCTAGCCTCCATCGTTGACCCTAGACCTTCCACTCCTTGTGCATGCAAAAAAAAGCGGAGTACGTATTTCATTGGATTGAATACCTGGGTTTAAGGTTTGGGGTTCCGGTGCAAGTTCGGGTTCACGCGCTTGCGGTTTGGCCCTGAACTGTGAACCCTAACTCCAAACCGACTAACCTGATGAGGGCCATAAACCACGGAGGACCCAATTGAAACACCCTCATATCACGCCATGAAGCCCTAAACCCTGAACCCTACCCGATAGAAACACGGGTTTGAAGACTTCGAAGCGTTTACTGCGAAATATGAGACAATGCTTCAAGGAGCCTGAAACCCGATAGTATGCCCTACAAGCCTCGAGCCCCAACACCCTATACCCCGAGCCCAAAACCCCCAATCATGGCCTGAACCCTACACCCTTGAAGGAGCCCAAAGGAGACCTTAGAGGAATCCTTAAAATCGAACAGTTAGAGACCTCCCAGACCACATACAAAACCTACCATTTCAAGGACTTACATGAGGAAGTCATAATCAGGAACAGAACCCCAGAAAAGGCAGGCGATTTAGGGTCCAGGTAAACCCCCAAAACCTAAACCCAATAGCCTCGAAGGAGCCCCGACCTGAGAGGAATCCACAGTTCAGAAAAAACTCCTAGACCCCGAACCCCGTAGAGGAAGCTAGGAAAAAGCTTCCAAAAGAAAGCCTCGAAGCCCTGGGTTGCCTTTAAAAGGTGCTTCAGGTTTAGGGTTTAGGGTTTTAGGGTTTAGGGCTTAGGGTTTTAGGGCTTAGGGTTTTAGGGTTTAGGGGCTTAGGGCTTGAGGTTGTTTGGGTTTCGGGTTGAGGGTTTAGGGGTTTATTGTTTAGGGTTTAACGGCTTCCTTGAAGGAACCCCTTTAACCCTTAGCGGAACCTGCCAAAAAAACCTAAGCCCTGGAAGCAACCCTGAACCTTAAGCGTTTAGGGTTTAGGGTTTAGGGTTTAGGGTGTTAGGGTTTAGGGTTTAGGGTTTAGGCCCTAAACCCTCGACTTTCGAAGTCCCGGTGCCAAGGCTTGCTGCCACCACCTCCCGAAGGATCGTTCTGAGAAGGTTACAGCAGGTTTAGGGTTTGCGGCTTGCGTTGAGGAGCCGGGTTTAGGTATTAGGGTTTAGGGTCTAGGGTTTGGGGTTTGGGGTATAAAGTAGAAGCCAGAAAGTTGGAACACCATTACCCTGATACCCTCAAGAAACAATGAAATATAGTGAATCCAAGCACAAGTCTTTCTTAATTCATGCTCCATTGTCTGGGGTTCCATGTACTCGAAGGAGCGCAGCTTATATATATATATATATATATATATATATGCTTGTGGGTTTTGAGGCGTGGATAGTGTGGGGTTTAGGGCCTGAGGTTTGGAGTTGAACGACTGGAGTGCAGAATGTGGGGCTTCGGGTTCTGGGTGCAGTGCTAGGGTTCGGCATTCAGGCCGTTTGGGGATCATGGCCTTGGCCGAACCTGTCTCAAAACTTCGGAGTCCTTGATATTGCAAGCAGTGTTGCAAACCGAACCCAAGTCACACAACTTCCATCCTAGGTATGCATTTCAACCCCCCGGGCTCGCCAAATTAAACCACTAACGTAAATTAACAACGATCCCAGGCTGGTACATAGGATACGACGTAGAAATTCTGATTCTGTTATGAGACCCGAGAAATCTGTCAAATCACCACCAGCTGGGGGTTTGAGCGTGAAGTTAAGGTTTGGCGGCTCCGGGTTTTGGGGTTCATAGGGAACTAGCGGTTTTAGTTTGGGAATTTGCATTTGGCGGATTTTGAAGTCAACCAACAAGAACCGACACCTCCATGCAGATGTTTACTGCTGCCACTCTCAGCAGATTTTCCGACACCTGCACAACATGAACAATCAGAATAAGGCTTGCTTTTAAATATATTCTGCCCCTGTTAAGTGTCAGAACAAGTATTTGCCTAAGCTTCTATATTATCTTACGGAGACCGATGCTCCTCCCTGGACAGCCCTTTGCACCTAACGCTGGCACATGTGCTGATGCCCAAGGAGTAGTGCGGAAGCTCCAGCTTCATCGTGGATGACTCCTTAAAAGACGAATTTTGCTTGAAATTTGAAATCAAAAGGCAGGGCTCAAAGCCAGGAGCCCGGGGAGTCGAGACTTTTGCACACTCACTCAATCCAATGTTGCTTCTGTACAGCCCTGACAAGCTCCGACTCTGTTGACTTCAGCCATGTCTCCAGGGTCCGAATCACCTCAATGACGAGATCTGCACGCCGCCTCCGTTTCCTGGGTTCGCGAGAAGGAACTTACAGTGATTTGCCAAATTACTTGCCTTCCTCCTTGCGCAACTTTCCTTTTCACCGTGTCAAAAGCATTATGAACCCGATGAGCTTGTTATGCCCATCTGCTCAAGGGTTGAATGCCCTGGCACCATTTAAGTATTTCAAGGCTCTAAGCTTTTGTAAACCCATAAACATCAAAGGCTGCCTGCAGCAACATTTGAACAAATAGGAACGCTATTCAACTACAATTTAGGGCTCAAGATTTTTGCAAGGCCCCTACATTAACTTAATTAACCGAGCCCCTAACACTAACTCCAGTAGGAACCCTAAACCCCTAAACGGCCCTAGCCCTACACCCAAACTCCGTAAGAAGAGACAAGCTGCAAAGTGTGGAGCACCTGTGCCAACTCAGACGATTTCCAGACAGGCCTGGGTTCGCTGGGAGGCTTTAAAGCATACGGGTTTAGGGTTTATAGGCTTAGGGCTTACGGTTTAGGGTTTCTGTTTGATTACGTCATGTGTGCTCGATGGTGTGTGAAAATAAAGGCTGCGGCATCACCGACGGGGCCAGTTACCTTCAAAGGGCCCACGCAAAACCTACATAGGAGTTGTGAACCACGGCCTTCTTCGATCGACCATCTACCGGCTCATGACTTTTTGTTGGTTGGAGAAAGTCCCTTGCTTAGGATGGCATCTGGGCATAGGGAAACACAGGTGCGGCCACGAGCCTTCCGGCTGCAAGATTCAACCACAATTTTCGTGCTTGAAGATGAGGGACGTAAGGCCAAACTTACTTTAGTCAGGGGCGTAGTCCTTCACAAAATCAGAATGAGCCGACGGCATTGAGAGCACAAGGTCCGTAGCCTGGTTCAACGTCTGCAAGCTGCGGTCCATCGGCCCCCCCGACTTGGCCAAATTTCGTACTCCATATACTCTTCGAAAGCACTTTCACCATGCCGGTGAAGTATGGCAGGTGAGTGATGCCAGTAGCGGTGTAAGGTGTAATCATTGCGGATAACCAGTGCTGCACCGGTGGGTGACTGTTCCACCAACTTGTGTTCACAAGCTTTTTGAGGCCCTCCTTTTTGATGTTCCAATTGACATGTTCAAAACTCCCTATACACGGGCAGCGCCGAAACATAACAAGCTTTGGAAACTCTTCACCACACCTGCTACCCAACCAGGTGGGCAACCTGGCCATCTATAGTGTGAAGTGACACTTCGCACGCAAGTAGCGATCTGTCCCATCCTTTTTTCTTGGCAAAAGCTTCGTCGCCAAGCTGCTTGCTGACGCCGCCATTGCAAAAGCCAATGGAGCGAAGGTGTTGCGAATGACATCATCCACATACACATGACACACATTTCAGGTAAGAGCTCCCGCAGGTGGTTCGGGAAGCGTGTGATCGATGAACTTGATCTTTCACAATCCTTCGGCCGTCGGTCTAGTATCTGGCGAGCACTTCTGATACGAAGTAGATTTCAAACTTGTAGTTCGGCTGTCGGCCAGATTGAAGATGATCTGGAGGTCCTTTAAAGCAGCTCTGCTTCCAGCAGTCTCTGGGCACTCACAGTGGGCGTGCGGGACCGACCAGAGACCAAAAGTCCCGAAAAGTAGGGCAAATTGCGTCTAACACCGTCTTAACACGCTTCCCGGCCGCTTCCCCGGAAAAACCTGAACCTAAATGCCCGGAGCCCTAAATCTCAAATCTTATTCAGAACCTTCCTTAGACCTAAACAATCGCTGAAAGAGGCCTAATTACACCCTAGACTTCTCTTCCCTAACCCCAAAACCCCAAGGCCTAAAGCACAAATCCGAAAAGCCCTCAAACCCAAAACCTTAAATACCTACTGGGAGGCCAGCAGACTCAGTAAGTAGGTTATAAGTAGAGTTATAAGTACCCTGAATGGAGTTACCCCAATCATATCCCTACTTATAACCGACTTGCTAAGTCCCCTGGGCCTCTAAGTAGACCCTTAATTGGGGTTACGCGGAAACGGCTTTGGGATGGTCAACCCTTCTGGGGTCCCTTTGAGGCCTAAACTCGAAAGCCCTAGGCACCGAGGAGCTTCTTGTGCGCCAAGAGCGCCTTGACCTTCTCAGGTTCGACGGGTTGCCCCAACAGCCGCAAGCTCCTGAAAGAGTTCAAGGTTTTCAGCTGCTGATTATTGAAGCCCTAATGCCTAAACCCTGAAACCCCAAACACCAAACCCTAAACCCTAAACCAAAAATTATTTAGTGTTTCGATGTTTGGGCATTTTTTGGGAGGGTTTGAGAATTGAGGAGTCGAGCGTAATTGTTAAGGAGTGCATGTAGGGCTTCAGGCGCAAACGGATTCAGTACTTAGGGTGTCATGACTTGCTCGTGGACTTCTGGGGATCCTGACAGTAGCCCCGAAATAATCAGGGCACCCTTTGTTTCTACTATCTGGGTTTATTAAGGGAACCCCCAAAAAGAAAAAATGTAAAAGGGTACTACTGCTAAACCCTAAACCCTAAACCCGGGATTCTAGAAACACAATTGTCGGATCTTGGGGTTTCTTAAGGGAACCCCAAAAAGAAAAAGGTAAAAGGGTACTACTGGGGATCCTAGCGAAAAAATTGTCGGATCTTGAAGCTCGAGGTCGGAGACTTTAGGCTCGAACTTGGCTTTCGGGGGTTTACCCTAAGACTCCGCGAGCCATGCGGCTGATGAGATAAAAACTCTTGCTATATATCCATATTAAGGAATTATACCATAATTCCCATAGTTTAGGGTCCTTAAGGTAATGCAGGATTTCTATCATCAACACAGGCCCTATAGAAACCCCAAACTAACATAGGAGCCTCAATAATTAGAATAGGGTTTGCGGGTAGGCTATACTATAGTTACGATACGGAACCCCCCAAAATAGTATAGGGCAATATTTAAGACCCCGTACTACGCCCTTACGCACCACCTTGTCACAGGCGTCGGACACCCGAAACTGCCGGAAACCCTAGAAGAGACTCAAGGGTTTAGGGTTTTCAGGTTTAGGGGAGCTTAGGGTTTAGGGTTTGGGGTTTAGGGAAGTTTGGAGACCCCAAACCCGAAATCGGAGAAAGGTACATGGACCTAAACCCTAAACCCTACTTGGAGGCCCAGCAGACTCAGTAAGTAGGTTATAAGTAGAGTTATAAGTACCCTGAATGGAGTTACCCCAATCATATCCCTACTTATAACCGACTTGCTAAGTCCCCTGGGCCTCTAAGTAGGCCCTTAATTGGGGTTGCGTGGAAACCACTTTGGGATGGTCAACCCTTCTAGGGTCCCTAGAAGGCCTAAACTCGAAAGCCAAACCTTACCGTGAACTACCAAAACCTACTTTTCTATGGGCGCTCATCATAAATGAGCCCTATATATATATATATATATATGTAGAAGATGTAGGGACCCTACAAGAAACTAGTTTTGCCTTTTGCGTATCTCTCTTAAAAGCCTTAGAGCTCATTGAACCAGATTTGTAGTGTTTAGGGTTTAGGACTACCTCTGCCAAACTAGAAGGCTTGTTCGACCCATGATAAGCAGCTGTATCTTGAATAAACCCCCCCAAGCCCTAAACCCTAAACCTTAATTGGTGCATGCTAGAATGCAAAACAGAAACTGGGGACACTCAGGAAAATCGCCGAAGGTTGCCAGATCACCACCCTAAACCCTAAACCCTAAACCCTAAACCCTAAGCCCTAAACCCTAAACCCTAAACCCTAAACCCTAAACCCTAAAACCCGAGACCCGAGGCTCTTCAAAAGGCTGCTGGAGAAAGCGCGCCAGCCACACCTGAGAGTTTCATTTGGGTTTGGCTTTAGGGCTTTAGGGCTTTAGG